AGAAGACAGAACGGGTCGTGGGGATTTAGCTTGTATGCCCATCCATTGGCAGTGTGGTTTCCAATTTTAAGAGGATAAGCCATTGAGACACAAACCATGCATTTCTGCATGATTGTCCAGCTTCCGCTTAAAAGTCTCCACAGATGGTGATCGGCCTCCGCAACAAATCATATGAGGAAAGACTGAAGAAATTAGGTATTTTCACACTTAGTTACCTTAGTCACAGGGGAGACCTCATCACCGTCTATAAGATCTTAAAGACCAGGCCCACCCTAATAAAAGCATTCTGCCATTAAGTGATTATAGGCTTCCACGAGGTAACCCGATAAGGATAGCACACCAAAGACCAAAGACTCGAGTGCGTTCACATTTCTTCTCGCTTCGAGTTTGCCGTCTCTGGAACGCTTTACCGGTGGCCGTAACTACAGCGCCATCTGTGGAGACTTTTAAGCGGAAGCTGGACAATCATGCAGAAATGCATGGTTTGTGTCTCAATGGCTTATCCTCTTAAAATTGGAAACCACACTGCCAATGGATGGGCATACAAGCTAAATCCCCACGACCCGTTCTGTCTTCTCTCATTGTACCGACTACTCTATCTTTTCCTTAGGTCACCTGTATTATTTCACCTTTATTATTTCACTTATCTCAACCTATATTATCTGCACTACAACCTATTATTATAATTATTACTATTCTGCTTTTATGACTACACCGAATGACCAACGGGTGTTAGGTCAAACTCCATTCACGGCAGCAACTCAGTCCTAACATACTGCACAATACAAACCACAATCTTGACCCATCTTCGCACCACTCCTCTTGGAGTCTACCAGAACCAAAGCAGTCGAGTGACGGGACTTACTAAGCATAAGTTCACCGAAGATCTGGAACCTCTACCTTACAATCAAGAAGCGAGCTCAAAGAAATCACTGGTTTATACTAGCTCGTAATCAGGATATTGGATATTGGTTGAACATTAGTGTCGAAGAAGACATTTTGGATAACGAAAGCAAACTTCTATCGGCTTATGAGAATCGGTGACAACACTTCTTAGTAACATCATCGGTTATTGTTTGCGAAACTGGAAGTTTGTTTAAATCTGTTGGTTTTCGTGAGAATTCAGTCTTGAGGTACTCATTGTGAGTATTCGTGCTCACCACTGCATTAGTGTCCTCCCTCAGTCAAGTAACCTGGTGAGTAATTGATTGTTTTTAATCGCATAGCTGGCTTTATAACGAAATATGATCGCGATTTTATAGCACACGGTTTATCTTGCAGAACTCAATCAGAGTAGATGTAACTGATTCTAGCGAATGTCGGTGTTTGAAGTGCTAGAATGAGAAACATGATAATTTTCTCTGGAATCTCACCCTGGTTTTTCCATATTCATTAAGATGACTGTCCTGTAGATTCAGAAAATACTGTCAGGTTAACAAAAGATGTAGGCATTTCTTACAAAGATTTATTTAAATGGCATTGACATTTGTCTCGTCCATTCAAAGTCACCCGTGTACTCGTTCACAGGGATCACTGACCTTAAAAGTATTATCTGTAAGTTGTGAGTGACGCATATTCATTTGTTGTACACAGTCACCTTCATACAATGAGAGATAGTTCTTGGCTGTATTTAAGGCTGGTTTAACATATACGCCAATTTTTCAACAACATTTGCATATTGTCATCGGCAAATTCACATGGGACTATACGTGTATGAATTAATTGACTGACTTCAACGAAAAATAAGGAGAAGAGATCGGTTATAGCTGGTGTTGTATTGCTGTCATTATTATTATTATCAGTTGTTGTTGTTTCGGTGGTATCCGTAGTCTCAGCAATACTGTTATTTGCTTGCATCTCATCATTGAGTTGAGTAGACCTGCTCAATTCATCAGCTACAGGAAGTACTGATGGAGAAGTGTCCTCTTCCTCCTCCGCCTCCCTGTTCTCCTCTTCTTCATTATTGGCTGAAGACGAAGACGGAGAAGAAGTGTTAACACCCTCGTCGTCATCAGTATGATTACTTTTGTCAGTATGATGATGATGTATTGCGTCTTCTTTTATTGGTGAATTTTTATTATTAATATTATTATTACATGAGGTATCCAAATCAACTGTGGCGTGTTTTGTTAAACTGAAAGAAAGAAAGAACACACAGTGTGGGAAGAGATTCTTAGGTATAAATGTGAAATAGGAACAAACAGTTCAGAGAAGAGACTCTGTTTTTTCACTGGAACTCTCTAAGGGAAGAGAATGTCAAAACACTCTGAATGAAAAGAAGCATTCTCTACAACCACATTAAGAGGGGGATATTCTCCTGTTGTCCAAATATTCTCTAATAACTCTGTAGACAAAGTACAACAATTAATCATTTCTATGCATATCTGCCAACCCAATTGCTCCTGTGGATGGAGACTTCACTTATTGGCATAGGCGTTCGAATTACAGTCAATGGGCTTCGGATTCGAATCCCACTCCATCATCAGCAGCATGAGCAGCAGCGACAGCACTCACACAATATGCGTGCCTCCTCATACCTTGGGACATGGACGACAATATTCCAGGAACTGAGTTCAAACAAAATCAGACGAGTAGAATGATATATATAGAGGTTGTTCAATCCGTATTTTATTCAGAAATGAGTTAAGGAACACTATCTCGGATGGCTAATAAAGAGGTCACAGTATCATGGAAATGCTATAAATGAACATATATTCAATACTGAATCACTGAAGACAGAACCAATTCTGTGTAGTTTTTTCTCTCTCTCTTCATTTCCTTCAAGGATTGATTGCCCAGTGTTTTGTTGAAAGCCAATTAAATATGTCCAAGAGTTCATGTAGTTAGTGATCATTTGATATAACTGCCTGCATTGGTTGAAACAATAAGAAATGCAGAAAATATTCAAGCATCTGGATGGATGGAAATTTCGGTAGCCCAGTGATTTAACCAGGCCACTGCTTACTGGTGAGAGTAATGTGAATTAGAACTATGCTGGATAGCAAAGGGAGAATGCAAGCGAGGGTGTATGCAGCTCGGTAACAGAACATCTTGTGGTGAATTCTTCCTCTCGTGTTGTCGTTAATTAATTATAATTAACGGTAGAGAGAGAAAAAACCACACAACAACAACAACAACAACAACCTGAATCGGAAATCTTTAGCCCATGATGCAGACGAATGAAAGAGGAAGAGAACTCTCGATAGCAGTTTATTTCTTATAATACTCTCTTATTGTTATTTAATATAAAAGTATAAAAATATACTATTGTATGACAAAATCTGATTATGCAGAGTTATAGAGTCAGTCAGTCAATCAGTCAGTCAGCTGTATACTGGCTGAATAGACCGTCTCTACGCTCTATGGACATGGCTGTAGAAAAATACAAAATAATCACACTGATCAGGTGAACTGGCATCTGGATGCTGAGGAGAAGAATAATCATCGTTTACCGGTATACTTCCGTTTGTTCATTTCTGCTCTGCTCTGCAATAACAATAAATATGTTCAATTGAATTTGTTTGTTTCCTTTCAATGCTAATGATATATACTACTGGTTACAGTTACAAAGTAGTTATAGGGATTTCACAAGGCCTAAATTCAATTTGAAATGCTTGTCTACATTGGCGATGAACACTTCACCATTAGACCATTCACCTAACAGAATTAATTTATAATGTTTTTTCCTTTGCACTACGAGTGGGACATGGGGCTTGAGGCTTTCAGGTTTCAGTAGTAGTGGTGCATTTTATTACAGAATGGAATTGTCAGCTCCAGGGAACAACCTCAGCTGTTTTTACCAGGAAGTGCTGCCGGCTAAATGAGATTGAGGAGTGCGAGATCACGAACTTGGACCACTCGCGTGATTGGCGAGGATTCACACGAGAATAACACGTGGCCAATCCGTCGCTGTGTTGCACTTCAAAAGCAAGTGGATTCTGATTTATGTCGATACAATCCTTCCTGCTGTCGAATTTTTGTTTGCACAAAATCTATTTTCATACCAGTTAATTAATTCCTCATACACCTGAAGGTTTCGTTTTCATCAAACATTTACCAGTGAGCACAACAACATGTACCCAGTGGAGAAAGATATGAGATAGGTGAAATAAACATGATTCACGAATTATACGTCAAGTGGTAAATCAAAAGGGTTTCTAATCTCCACGAAATTTAGTCATATGGGTCAATATGTTGGGAAATAATCAAGCCAAAGCAACCGTGAACATTCGAAACATCGCAGAGACTGACTTTCGGCCTGTTAATTGAAACCTAATGTAATATCATTTAAGAAGACGTCCGACTGACGTATGCATTCATTCGTGATGACCTGATACACAAAATATCCACTACTCACTTCACCACACTTCACCAAACATGCAAATGCCTTCCTTTCTATTCTACACTTTGTCTAATCGATTCGTAGAGTAGCACAGAAGGGATGACACATACACTGACTATCATGTCTGCAATAATCCTGATGCGGCAAATGCAGTTATAACACCTCCGATTGTTATCAGTATTCTCAACCCTGCACTCCCCTGAATAAACACTACTACTGATATTACTACTCTCACACGACACACACACACACACAACACATACTGTTAGTCAAGTTTAACCAATCATTTGTAGAAGAAAGAGGAAGTAAAATGAAACTGAAGGTTACTCACTTTCTTTTACAAATTTTAATATGTTTGTTTAATCGATACTTCGTGGCATACTTCTTATCGCAGATGCTGCACACAAAATATACACCTTCGAACAAACATATGGGATAATTAGAAACAGTCATGTAAGAGATTAGAATTGAAAAACTTAACAAATAGTAGAAAAAATATACTAATACAAGGAGAGAAACTTTTTATCCACTGGAACAAAACGCTGTTCTGTGAAATCACTCACATCTAGTCCAACATCAATTGATTGATACAACCTCAGTAATGACTACAATCCAATGAATAACTCAAATTACTCATCTGATATTCCTTATTCCTTCTCCTTGCTTTCATTCTGAATTTATCATTCTTCTTCTTCTTCTCATGGAGATGATGATGTTGAATTAATTCAGGTTTGTTCCACTAGTAGTACTTCAAATGACAACAACATTATTATACGACTGAGATCAATCGAATATTAGTCTCACACTGATGAATATCCAGAGGACTGACCGAGAAATCACACAGGTTTGTCGGTTGCTGCTCCATGTAAAACACAATAAGACACACACACACAGACAAACACGCACACATTACTGACCTCTGTGATGCACCTGGACGTGTTGATTTAGAAAATTTTTAGTGGCGTATTTATTGTCACATTCGGGACAGTCGAATTTTCGACCTAAAATACAGAGAATATATAACAATAACAATGGGAATGGTGAAAAATCAGAATGGAAAAAAAAGTAGCTCAAAGTCGTCTACTGATACGTTGGTGACTAATTTTACAGAACTAGAAAGACGTGCCATCTCAGCTATCTGTTGGTTATATGGTGCTGAGGTTTTCTAAATTTAGTTGTGTGCTTCAGCTAGCTGCCTACCAGACCCATAATATGCATGAGAGAGAGAACTCTAGAGAACCTGGATTTGGTCCGTGGATGATTTATATTGTGTAGTGTCACACAAACGTACAGAAAGACAGGTGGAAACCAACAAACTCACTGAAGAAGTAGTCAGCGAAGACTGGACTGACTTCTAGTGAAAACGGAGAAGACGGAGGTGATGAAGACAGCCAATCAACAACAACAAAAGCAGCAGCAACCAGCACTGATCATTATCAGAGGGAAAAATTTCAAAGAGGTTACTGTCTTTCTTCATTTATCTAGCTGTGCAGCCAGCATCATTTCAACTACAGACAGTGACACGGATGAGGAAGTGAAAACCACCGTAAATAACAAGATTCAGGTTTTCAACACAAGTGTGAAGTCATTCATTTCTTCTACACGAGTCAGAAACTTGCACGAAATGGATTTCCAACAGATTCCAGACCTTTATCAACAGCTGCCCACTTCTCTGGCTCCAAACTGAAGATCAAATAGCCGGCCGACCAGAAAGAATTAGCAACAGGAAACTCTGGTCACAAACCAACCAAGAGTTGATTGCTCAACACATATGTAGGAGAAAATGAAGATGGACTGGGAATACAACACTGAGCAGGCCGTCGAATGACATCTCGTTCAATGCGGGTTATCAGTCAAGTGGAATATCAATGGGAAGGGATGAGTGGACCATCGGTGCGACGGTGAAATGGAGGAAGTAGTGTGAGGACGAGATGAGAGATTATGAGCAACCGTGGACCCAGCTAAAGAGGACAGCAGAAAATAGAAGAAAGTGGAGATTGTGAAAGTAAGATCGACAGTCGTCGTTTCATTTCTACCATCTCCAAGTCAAAAAGTAGCCTGCCAAAATCATCACGTATTTGACCCATCTGTATCGCTCAAGTCAAACCAAAGCTTTGCATACATACGCTAAGTTTGTTTTAACCACTGTTGTCTTCATGATTCCTGTCTTAGATATATTTGCGTTTCATTTCGTTCATTCACTCTCTATAACCATCTCCGCTTATTGCTTAGATTGTAATTTAAACAAAGGTGTTAACACATAAAATAATACAATGGTATGAGATGCAACCGAAGTATAATAATAATCACAGTTAAATATAAGCGTACTCTCCGAAAACGTGTAGCAGAACCAAAGCTGTAAACCAAAATAATAAAAAAATAAAAAAATATCCGATTTCGTTAATGAAAGGCGAACGTAGAACTGCGAAGTCGTGTGTTTTTCATCACCTGTTAGAGTCTGGTCGTTCAGCCCCACGTGATTCATCCTTCAAGGTTATCTACATGGCAAAATCGAATCGATCCAAAAGTTTACGTTTTCTTCACTTATGCATTGCCGAAACTTTAGCTATACAAGAACAGAAACCTAAATTATGTGTACAAAAACATTTTGTCAAACCCCTTTCTTTATCTTGGTTATAGTAATGTTCTTTCTAGTTTCTATTTTATTTTACCGCTTGAACTCTTTCCACTTCACTTCACATCTTCATTCATTTCGTAATCGTACTCCTAATTTTTAGGATTTTTAGACAACACTTGATATTTTTAAAATTTTTTGATATCAATTCATTTAT